TGATTTTGACAACTATTGATTTGACGGATTAAGTTGTCGTGAACGGCTCGTATTCCTCTATGTGACTCATGCAGAGTCATGCTTCAGATCGTTAACTTGAAGTATCCAACCTCTTCTTCCTTTCATATTTTTCTCATGACTCTTGTTTTAAATGCTCGCAAAAAAAAAAAACAACTTACTTCAACAATTTTTACTTTTTTTTGGGTACATAACAATTTTTACTTTTTGAATAGCAGCTATTCTCGCTATTTGGTTTGTACAATGACAGTTTTATTAATTTAGATAGATGAATTTTCACATTTAATCCAAAACGAAAAAAAAGTCTACAAATGCACTTGACTCTTCGGAGCAATATGCATCTTATCAATTTGAGGTATATTTTTTTTTATAGATAAATTTCAAGCATGTTCCTTAATAATTTATTAAAAAAAAAAAAGTATGCAAATGATAATGTTACGGAAAATCAATCTGAGTCTCTGAATTCATACCCATTAACTCGGGCTTCCTAGCCAAGTCAGTTAACTCAACTCCATTCCCGATTGATTCTCCTTCTCCATAACCCATTCGGAGGAACTTCAAATCATTGGACGAGGATGGTCAGTAAAAAAAATGATTAGTATACTATTTAGATGAATATATATATCAATATATATTAATTTAGTTATTATAATTTTAAAATTTTATATTTTTAATTTAAATTTAATACCTTAAATTAGAAAGTATTTGTATTAATATTGTAGTCAATAAACGCATCTGACTAGTTTAGCAAGCAATTAGTGCAGTATGTTTCATTATAATAGTAAAATAAAGCAACACCATCAAACTTGAGAAATTTCCATGATCAAGTCGATGTTGGTTCATTTTCGGCGACTGAATTATGTTGAAGATAAGAGTGGACCAAAAGATTTTGTCGTGAATTTGAGAATTTCAAGAGGTACACTTTACGAGTACTTTGTGTTCCCTTTTGTCCTGCAAGTGCTCGGTAAAATGTAGACTTAGTCTATCTGTTTTTTTCATTTTCTGGTGATGATATTATAGAATGGAAAAAGTAGAGTTTAGTTGGAATTATTTTATATTATATTAATTATTAAATAAATATAAATTTTTAATATAAAATTTTTTATTTAAATAACTTTTATTTGTATAATTTTTTGAACTTAAGTTAAAATTTATATTTTATAATTTAATATAATATCAACTGCAAAATAAATTTTAATCAAATAGAGGCAACAGTTTTAGACTATTTTTCATGGGATTCATAAAATTTCTTCATTTTGCTGCCCAAAGCAAGTAAAAAACAACACCGCAACAGGACCGTTGTTCACGTGTTTTCCATTTCTGCCTGTTCATAGTCATGCTCTTCAAATTTTTGTTATGACTGGATCTAATTTTGCTTTGGTGAATGGAAAATGAATCTTTCATGAAATCTTTGTTATATAAAGCCTAATAAACCAAGCGAGGAAACTTACAGTTATAGGGCATCAGGCGCCAGTTACAACCTCAGACTAACTTGCTTTTGCAGGTTTGCTCCAAGTGATTTCTCCTCAATTTTAGTTCAAGATGAGTGCCAATTCTTTGGTGTCTTCG